AAAGGCGTCTGCCAGTGTCATGAAGGATATCTTGGTGCAATTAAACAGAAGCATAAAGTGAAGAAAAATTATCTCAAGATTCTGAGCCTCTCCACAGGCTCCAGCTTGACTTTGGACCCAAGAACTTTATTGAGCTTTTTCAATGAGATCCAAAACCACTCAAAAGAGCAACCATAAAGCTATACTGGAAAAACCATGTCAATGAAGACTACCAATTGCCTATGTAATAAATACTATGCTACTTGATCAGTAGCCTGTTAAATTAGTCCAGCAGTTTTGATGTCTTTATAAACAGTGGTAAAGGAAAACAAAATGGAAAAGGAAAAGACTGCACTGGACAGCACTGAAAAAAATTACACTGGAAAACTGTACCATGCTTTCAGAAAGCTCAAGTTGTCCCCAATGGAGGTGACCCATGCACAGAGCAAGATCAAGGGATGAGAGATGGGAAACTAAAGTGTGACATTAATATCCACAGAAGATTAAAAGACCCACAAGCTCTATTACACTAGCTATATCCTCTATGAAAGATTTATGGAATATCTGAGATGATCAGATTTGATAAGATTTTGGTCAAAAAATAAGTTAACTGATTTTCTTTTATGGGTCACAAATTTGCTCTAAAAGTAACAAAAAGGTTTCAAAAGTATTTCAAACAATGGATAGACCTTTGCAATAGATGCACAGTGTCCCAAGGTAACTACTATCATCTGGATGCATAAATTCTAGTCTTCAATTCAACAAGCACTTATTATTGGTCAGTTTACTCCATGCCAGGAATGGTGCTAGATGCTGAACATTGTTATTGAGTTGTTTCCGGCATGTCCAACCGTCTGTAACCCCATTTTTGGAGTTTTCTTAGCAAAGATACCAGAGTGGTTTGCCATTTCCTCCTCCAGCTCATTTTACAGATGAGGAAACTGAGGCAAACTTGCCCTAGGTCACACAGCTAATAAGTGCGTGAAGCCACATTTGAACTCACTTCCTCCTAAACGCAGGGCCGACACTCTATCCACTGCACCACCTACGTGCCCCTGATGCTGGAGATACAAAGGCAACAAATTTAACAGCCTCTATCTACAAGGAATTTACATTCTGTTGGGAGGAAACAACATGTACAATTAAAACTGCATTAAAAATTCATAAAGTAATTTCCAGTGGGAGAGTAGCAATAACTTGGGGGATCAATAGAGATTTTCTATAGAATGTGACATGAGATAAGATTTTTTAGGAAGCTAGGAATTTTGTAGTGTAGAAATGAGTCATTCCAAGCAAAGGGAGATGTATGTGCAAAACAGTAAGGATGGGAGAGGGAATTTAAAGTATAAACGATGTGCCCCTATTGAACTTCAGCAAAGATGAACGCTAAATGGGGCAAAAGACAAGGCACCGAAATATAAAGAAGGGGAAGCCTTTCTAGAGGTATAGAAAGCACTCTACTACAAAATAAAGGCCAGCAGAAACAATGAACTTTCCCATAGGGCATCCTTTGTCTCCATACCTTTGTCAACAGCCTTTCACATACACAAGACTCAGTAAGAGTCTAGGGTGTTGCCTGGGCCCACATCACAAGTATAGGTGTTAGTCACTCACTGAAGGAAAACACCAAGAAGAGAAGCTAGAACTCTCCTACTTCTTACCTGGAAATGACAGCTCAAACACAAGGCCCTAAAGAAGACAAGGAAGAGAGGATTCTGACAATTCTAAGGGTCACTGACTTTGCTAAAAGATCACAGAAGCACCCCAGCTGAAACAGCACTGTAATGCACCAGCTGATGAGAGAGCAGTAAGACACCGGCTGAGTCCGCTTAAAGGTGAAGCCTTGCAGCTGCCCATCAGAGAGTGAACTCAGGGAGTCCAGCAGAGACGCTGTGCTCTATGAAGCGCCTCAGAATAGAGAAACCTGGAGCTTGAATAGCAGCAGCAGCAGCCCACCACTAGACTACTAACCAATATCTAGCAGCTGCGCAATTTGCCAGGGCAAGTCCAACAGGAGCCAAACCCAGGAAAGGGCCAACATCACAGCACAGCAACCTTCTTGAACCTTGAACACAAGGAACTGGCCAGGCCAGCTCAAATACCGTGTCCTCTGAGAAGACAGTTCAGGCTGGCTCTCCAAGTAAGTGATTTGTCGATCACCCAGGCCAACCCCTCCCTTGCCACAAGAGACTTGCTGAAGACCTTCCAGAGAAAGAAAGAACACAGAAGCCCTGCAATTCTGGAGCTGCGAGTTGATGCAACCATGTAAATTCTCTGAGTATCTTAATACCATTGTAGGCTTGTGCCCACCCCTCCTCCGCTTGGACTGTGTGTGTATTTGAAAGAGTATTATGCCCCAAGTTTGGGGGGGAAACACTTTGTAACTCCATTAACTGCTGGGTCATTTGAGTATATAACTTTTCTAAAAAGCTGAGTCTACGAGGTCATTATTATGGAGAAGCAAACAAGTGGGGGCTTATGAAATACAGCAGTAAGAGAATAGCCACCAAATGGTTACTTCTAAAATCCAGAGAGTCATAGCAGAGCATTGGAAATTAGGTCTCCTCTCAACCTGTCAATGCCAGTGTAGGTTTGGGAAATTAGCTCAGAGTGCTACATGTATGAAGCCAACAGCAAGCAGGCCACTTCGTGTAAAACACAGAATACATGAAGAAGAGTAATGTACAATAAACTTGGGGAAAATATATTTGACCCAAATTGTGAAAGGTTTTAAAAACCAAAAGAAAAATTAGTCCCATTACTTAAAACAGTTAACACTTTATAATGTACTGGCCATCTGTAGAATCAGCTCCATTTGCAATCAGACTGCGACATTTGTAAATTGGTATATGGGAACCATGTCACACATTATTGAAAGGCAAAACTGGTATTTCATAAAGAGTTCTGGATTTGGAGTCAAGAGACCTGGGTTTTGGTTCCAACTTTGGCACTTACTAGCAATGGAACCATGAGAAAAATAATTTGGTCTTCCTTGGTTTCACTTTGCTCAACTGCAAAATGGGAATAATAATCCTTACACCAACTACCTCAAAGGAATTTTTCTGAGTAAAGCTTGAAGCACTATTTAAATGTGAACTATTATGATATGACTGTAGAGGAAATGTGGTGCTATGGCTATGGCTAGGCTTGCAGTTAGCAAGTTTTGGTTTAACCTCATATAAAATACTTAAAACTAGTTGTTCAACTATTATAAATTGCCTTGAACAATTTTCTAGGTTTAAGAGACTGAGACTAGGTTTAAAGTCTGAGAAGCTGTTATGCTGGAGGTAAAGGGAGTTCCCATATTAAACTTCTCAGTAATACCCTCTCCACAATGCCAAACTCATAAATCCTCCCTATATTTGGATGTTATAGCTCCTAAATAAAATCTTATCCATTACAAATCCAAATTATCAGCCATCTTTAACAATCCAGAGCTCATGAGATAAGAAATTTACAAACTGGGTCTAATAAATAGTTTACAAATTGGATTTAATGAATAGATACAGCCCAGAAATTAGTAAATAGTACCACAGCAGTGTTTGTGCAGCTTAAATATTAACCCACAAAAGGCATATCTAAAAAAGGTCTACTGATTGGGGAAAATTTAGTATTGGTTTTGGTTGGGTTTTTTGTTTTGTTTTGCTTTCTGCATTTCAAACAGCTAAAAATGAAATTTAACAAAACTTTAACAAGATGACAAATGCCAAACAAGTCAAAATTTAGAATGAATCCTTGATGCCTCCTTCATCAGTCAATAAGCATTTATTAAGGGCCTTCTATATGCCAGGTACTGAGCTAAGCACTGAGGATACAAAGAGAAGCAAAAGACAGTACTTACCCTCAAGCTCTCAATCTAATGGGGGATGCGACAAGCCAATGAAGATGTACAAACAAGCTATATACAAAAGAAACAGTAAATAATCAATAGAGAGAGGGCAGGAGAGTTAAGAGGGATTGGAAAAGGCTTCCTGTAGAAAGTAGGATTTTAGTTGGGACTTTGAAGGAGGCCAGGGAAGCCAGGAGGTAGAGATGAGGAGGGAGAATGCTCCAGACATGGGGGACAGCCAGAGAAGATGCCAGAAGCCAAGAGATGGAGTGTCTTATTTATAAAACAGTAAGGAAGCCAATGTCACTGGATCAAAGAGTTTTCTTTAGTATATACTTTTTTTCTAATTCCAAAGTACTCATAATAAAAAATGCTATCTACCTCTAGAGAAAAAAACTGATGGAGTCTGAATGTAGATGGAAGCTTTTTTTTTTTTCTCACTTTCTTTTTCGGGGGCTAGACTGGGGGGAGTTTGTGTCTTCTTCCACAACATAACTAACATAGAAATGTGTTTTGAATGACTGTAGATGTATAGCCTATATAAAATTTCCTGCCTTCTCAAAGAGAATTAAAATTTTTAAAAATATTAAATTTTTTACATATAATTAATAAAATAAAATAATTTTTAAAAAACACTTGGTCTTAGGCTACAAGTTTAGGCAAACGTTTATTATTGAAAGATACCAATTTTTTCCATTTAGTTTTATGTTGCTACTTTAAGAATTTTTTTCAAGTAGCGCAAATGCATATTACATGTTCTAAACTATCACTGCTTGAGATTAATCTTTCATCTCGAATCTTTGTTCCCAAAGTGTGAGCAGTAAAAGGATAGAATTTTTAAACTCACCTTTTAAACAAAATATATTCTTATATTAATAGACAGTTGTTATATTGTTGGCTATTTAGATCCATGACAGTTACCACAAATGAAATAATTATGGAAAAGGAATTCAGACAATTAAGCTCAGTGTTTTTTTTTTCCCCGTCACACACACACACATAAGTATATTACTTCTCACATGGGTTTCTGAACAATTTTTACAAGCCCATTTTCAGTCTTAGTCATACTAGAATTAATGCATTTATTAACTCAGTTTTATATTTCCACTACAGTTCTTACTCTGAGGCTCCATTATGACATAGATATATTCTGGAAGGCTATGTCAGCACAGTACAAGCTCTAGCAGGCCCCATCAAGCTAGAAAGGCTTTGAATGCAGTCCTGATGATGAACTGGATGTCTTTTGTCTGGGGACCACACTAGATAAGTTCGGAGTGGCTCATTACTAGGTTGGCCTCAGGGTGATGAATTTTTCTTGCACAGCTGCTCTTCAAAAAACTATCTACTAAGGTACAAAGGAGTTAGAATCTGTATCAGAGATGGGAGTATCCATATGAACAAAATTACAAGTCCTTGAAGTGCTAGAATAATCTTGAAATAATACTCCTCTTTCAGAGTTTAGATCGTCAAGGACAAATCTGTTCAGTATATATCCAAATGGACCAAACCCTATGCCTCCCAGTCATCAAAAAGGTTTTACAGGACTTATAGGAGATAGTTTTCTTATATACAGAGTTCCAAGAAAAATCCTAACACCTTAATAATAATAATAATAATAATAATAAACTACATTTGCACAGCACTTTATACTTTACAAAATGCTTCTATAATAAGCATTATTACCCCCATTCTACAAACAAGAAAGTGGGGACAAAATACAGATAGATAGCTGGATGGATAGACAGTAAGCTAGGGATGTATGAAGAGATGCAGTTCTCAGCACTGATGGGAACTGCTCTCATTCTGCTGTTTGAGTCCTCATCATTCCACTAAGATATTGATATTATTCTTATTGCCAGTGTTCTCAAAGAGGAAAGCTATATTAGCCATTGTGAATGAAGTACTTTCTAGAAAGCAGACATGAATACACTTTAAGGGTTAAGGGTATTATATGTCAATTTGGTCACACTGTTTCCAGCATCAGGGGAGCAATTCTTGACTCAGTTGGCAAATATACTTACTTACAGGCATAGCCTTAAAGTATATGAATTTCAAACCCAGAATTTAACCATAAGATTTTCTTCACAATATAGTCCGTTCCGTTAAGATTCTGTCCTTATGGGAAATAATCTAAAACTGAGATTTTCTTCACCTCTTCCTTAAGCAAAGGGATAAAGTGAGTATCTATTTGGATACCAATTGCTGTTCAGTATATTAAAAATAGATAAATTTATTTTTATTAGATTCAAACATTCCAAAATCACAATCAAATGGTGGAAGTAGGAGATAAAGGTGGTTCTAAATATGAAAACTGGTTGGTTTTTTTTATAGAAATCTAATTATGGCATTCATAATGTAGATTTTTTTAAAAGTACTCAATAGAAGCAACAAATGCATGTATCAGCAAAAGTCCACAAAAGGTAAGTGACTTTAAAATATTCAGTCTGTAAAACACTGAGGTCTTACTATGTATAAAGTCTCTTCACCATGTTAAATTTACAAAGGTCAACAATTACATGTTCTTGTCTCTAAGAAGATTACATTCTACTATTAGGAATGTGAGCTAGGTGGTATAGTGGATAGAGTATCAAGCCTAGAGGCAAGAAGACTTGAGTTGGAAACCCATCTCAAGACACTTACCAGCTGTGCAACCCAAGAAAAGTCACTTAACTTCTGCCTCAATTTCCTCCACTGTTAAATGGAGTTAATAACCTCTCAGAGTCTTTGTGTGGATCAAATGACATTATATCTGTAAAGTTCTTAGCACAGTGCTTGGCACATAAGCAGGTGCTATATAAACGCACTGTGTTATTATTACTATTTATGCACAGATAAATATAATGAAAGACAGGGAACTTTTGGAGCAAAGTACAGATCCTGGGAAAATGTGAACAGAGTTAAGTCAGTCAGAAGCATGCATTAAACACCTACTGTGTATCAGGCAGAGGTGGCACTAGCAGATCCAAGTCTTAAAGAAATAGGATACTACATGGAAATAGAAAAAATGTCCCAGCAAAGAATGGTTGAGTGGGAAGAGATGTTTATTTATCTTGCCTAGATCTACACTAGCAATATGCTCTCTTGTCCTTATCTCTAATAATTCTAACAATACTGACTACTCATGACTGGGCAGAGTATCATGGGGAAGAGAGTAGTTAAGGCAGCTTCAATAGCAGTTGCATAAGACTTACGAGAATAGGAACCCTACGAAGGGAAAAACTAACAGCAAAGACATTTTGTGATGGGAGATTTCACGGAAGTGACAAGAGGATCTGAAAACCCAAACTTAAGATCTAGACAAGAAAGGGAAATCAAGGGAAGCATCTCAATTACCTACTGGCATTGCACTGTGTGTCTCCCCAAGGAGGACTACATTTAACTCTGGATCACAGAAACTGGGAAACATCAGACTTTTCGTACAGAGAATAGATCTGGAGTTTCATGAACCAGACACATGGTTCATGAAACAATGAGGATTAGCTGGTACCAACAGGTTCAAGGAAACCTGTAACCAAATGAAGGAGAAAAATACATGCCATTAGTTGTTAATGACTCTCCACTCAGAAGTGCAAAAACAACTAGATGTAAACCTGACATGGTATACTATCCTCTAGAAAGATGTATCTGGGATATGACAAAGAGCCTGCAGAGACTAAATGAACCTATCAACTGCTCCCTTCTCTTGATGATTGATGTGGGGACAAAAAACACCACCAGAAAAAAAAAGAAAAAGAAAAAAATCATAAAAACCAACTCTGGAGAGTATGTATTACTGGTCAGAGAACTGACGGACTTGAGGTCACAGGTAGTATTATGACCTTTTTCTACTTGAAAGATGGGACTCTGAAAGAGAAAGCATGACAACAGCAGTAAGAAACTAGCTATGCAACTCAAAAAACAGGATTTGCTTTTCTGGACCACCAGAGAAGAATACAAAATGAGGTACGCTAGGCTAGGGATAGATTGCATCTCATGTTGAATGGGAAGAATGTTTTTTCCTTGAAAATTAGTAAACTGATCCAGAGAAAATTATATAAAAGATAGAGGAAGAAAGGAAAATGTCCAGATGAAACTAAATCTGCATTATATGAATAACAGTATAATACAGAAAAATAACAGTGGTAAAGAGAAAAAGAGAAGTGAACCAGGAATAGTATTTCTGGACTCTGTTTACTGATAAATCAACATCCATAGTAAGAACAGAATAGGACAATAAACAAAGTAAAATGGACAGATAAATGACCTCACAGGTATCACCAAGACTTCACAGAAATGGATCTAGGGCAGAAACCTCAATTGAGGAGAATACTTTGTTTAAAAACAAAACCAAAAAAAAACCCCTAAAAGATAGATGATGTTTGACAGCAGCCAAAACTGCAGGACTTCTTTAAGCAAACATGGAGGTGCAAATTAACTGGGACAAAGAAAATTAAATTTACTGACATGAAATAAACATTTCAATTTCTTACATCTTTAAAAACCTATTATATGCAGTATCTTCTTCTGGCTGTAGTAATTTTTTTCACCTGATTTGACACTGAGTTCCTAAGATTTTATGCATATTCTCTAATTCTTCATCACAAAACCACACATCACAGTGAGTATTAAACATACCTCTACTGAAGAGTCTGTTTTTCCAAATCATGATTATAGCCAATAGATTTTCAATGAGACTTAAATGAAGTGAGTTTCTAGGCCACTGGTATATCTCTCCCATGGGTTTAGTTAAACATATTGATATCTAATCGGACAACTTTTCCCAGAGTTTTAATTAGTGAACCAATGTCAATATGGAGTTGGTATGCCAAAAGGCTCAGTCTTTAGCCTTATTCTAGTCAATATTTTAATACATAACTAGAACAAAATATAAATGGTATGATACACACACATGTGCATATATATACATATATACTCACATATATACATATACATACACACACACACACACACACACACACGATAGGTTAATAGATATGATAAAAGAATTAGGTGGGAAAAAAGATCATGGCAGGCTGGAATTACAGGCCAAAAATTAAATGTGATAGGCACAAATGTAAAATACTATAATTCAGTTTTTATAGATATAAATAAATAAATTCTCAGGGAACATAACTGTCTAGCAGCTCATTTGATATAGGCTGAAGAGAGCTACCAGACTATAAGTTCTATAGGAGTGTAATGTAGCTATAAAAAGTAAGTCATCCTTTTAGGCTGAATTAACAAGTACAGCAATGGAGATAATCCCACTGTACACTGTGGTGGTCATACTGACTCCTAAAGTTGCGTTTCAGTTCCGGGCACGGTGTTTTATAAAAAATAAACGAATCTGAATATGTTTTGAGGAAAGTGACCAAGGTTGTGAGAGGACTTAAAACTATACATGGTGCATGAGAATCACCTAAAGGAAATGAGGCTATTTATTCTGCATAAGCGAAGATACAGGAAATATGATAGTTGTATTCAGGTATTTGAGGCAGTCTTATGGAATGGGGATAAGATGTATTGTGTGGTTTCAGAAAGTACAACTAGAATTAATGGATTTAAATTATAAGGAAACAAAATCAGGCTCTTTATAAAAAATAAATTCTGCCCCAGATAAATAATTGTCCCAAAGCAGAATAACCTCATTAAGCTATATGCTCTCCATCACTGTATGTGTATTTTCAAGCAGTGGTGAAAATGGCAATTTGCCACTTATATTGTAGGATGGATTACGATCAGTCAGTCAGTAAATATCTAATAAGCACCTTCTATGTGCCTCGCAATCTGCTATGGGCTGGGAATACAAAGAAAGGCAAAAGGCAGCCCCTACTCTCAAGTAGCTCCAAATATAATGGAGTATGCAATACACAAATAACTACGTACAAACAAGCTATATACAGGATACACCAGAAATAATCAGCAGATGGAAAGCACTTGGAATTAAGAGCAATCAGGAAAAGTTTCCTGTAGAAAGCAGGATTTTGATTGGGATATAAAGGAAGCTAGAGAAGCAGGAGGCAGAGAAGAGATGGGAGAGCACCGGATGGATGGGGAAAGGCAGTGAAAATGCCTGGAGTCAGAAGGACAGAGTGTCTTGTTTGAGGAACATGGAGGCCAGTGGCACTGGATGGAGGAGGATGTGGAAGGTTGTAAATTATAAGAAACCTGGAAAGATATGGGGGAGGGGAAGCATCAGATTATGAAGAGGTCTGAATGCACGACAAAGGTTTTTATATTTGATCCTGCAGGTGATAAAAGCATCACTGGAATTTACTGTAGGAGTGTGAAAATGGTCAGCCCTGTGCTTCTGGAAAATCACTGGCAGCCAAGTGAAAGATGGACTGAAGAGGACAGAAATGTATGGCAGGCGGATCAACTGATAAGCTATTGCAATAATGTCAGGTGTTGGGTTATACTATACCTCTGAGTTACCTTCAATTCTAAGCATAGTTCTCTGATGAAGAAGTGCTTAATAAATGTTCTATTTAATTAAGACTATCTGAGTCTATGATTGCTATAACTTATCACAATACCTACTTTAAGGGTATAATTGTTGAAAAATTAAGATAAATCCAATTGCCTCAATATGTGTCACCAAAAATATGGAAATTAAAAGTAATTAGTTATAAAATTGTTTTGATTTGAAACTGTCAAAATCTGGCATCATGACTTTCAACATCAATATTAAATTTTCAACACTAGAAGAAATCATGATGATAATACAATTGACTTGCAGTATTAAAAGCTAGGAATTTACAGCAAGATTTTTCTCCATTTTAAATGTTTATTTGACTGTTTTTCTTATTTATTTTTAGGTTTGTAATTTAAGATGTTTAAACAAAAGTGAAGAGAAGAGAATAATGTATCATAAAACTACAAAACTGCACAATGAATAAAAAATACATGTTTAAATATAAAAGCTTATAAAAAGTTTGTAAAAATTTACATAGTCAATAAATAAATGGCCTTTGAAACAAATAACCCCAATTTTTACTCTATTCTATACCAAGAATATTTTTCAAGCTATTGACTTTTTGGAGTTCAGTTCTTCATTTTTTGTATACATCTTGGATAGGAAGCAGAATGTTGGATAAGGAGGAGAAGTAAGGAGTAGAGTGAACATCCTCTATAATAATGTTTTCTCATCCAGTGAAACAAACCAAGGGTTGGGCTTGAATGAAACTAATTAAAGACTTTGCTATAAATAGCAATATCAGTGAAGAAGAGAAATAAAAAAGGAACAGTAACTTGCAAACTAATTAGAAATAGCCCTTTGAAACTTGGTGTGACCCAGTTTGATGGTGTCCAATTTAAGAGGAACTAGGATTAAAGGTCTTGTAAATGGTCATGGTAACTATATTGTCTACTTCTGTATATTCTTATACCTAACAGAAAAGATAAATTTCTAGGGAGAGTCAAATGATAATTATTAAATAAAAGCACCTGCAAATTTCACAATACTCAATGACACTAATTTCTCAAAGTAGCCAAAGTATGCACTACTGGTATATCCCAGAAATTCCTAAATAATGTGAAAATGTGTAAAGTGATCTCTTTACTTAAAAAAGCAGACATCATTTAAAGAAAAAAAGTTCTGCAGCACAAGAGGGCTTCTTAATTTGCAGTAGGAATAGTCCCCTCAGATTGGAAGAGACCCTTTAAGTTGGGTTTATTCCCTCAGAAAACAATCCACAACAGAAAAACAATGTCTAAGGTTCTTTAAAATGAAAAGAATTTCTTCTTCACTTTTTCAGTTTGTATGATTTAGAATAAATTGAAAATGGTGCTTAACATTTGGGGGCATTTTAAGGCAAGATCCAAGAGCAGAACATTCTTAATCAATCTGCCTATGTCAGCAGTACTTAAAATGCCTTTACAATCTCAGTTATGGGAGATGACAGGTGTGTACGCTTTTAGGAAAGACCTTAAGGCTAAATGTCTTTATGACATAGCTAAGTATGTCTATTTATGGGGTAGAAAAGTCCCAAGTTCTTGTTTGCAAAACAAAGGCATTTTTGCAGAAATATTTTTTCAAGGTCCTTGGTGTTAAATAAACAAATTCCTATTGATTTGGGGACCTTACACAAATGAAGCACCAGGAGAGAAAGACAGAGACAGGGAGACAGAGACTGAGAGAAAGACAGTAAGGCCCCTTCTGGAGTAAAACTGAGGTCACTCATTTATTGAGGCTATTTCTATTCAAGTCAAGGCATGCATTTTTCAACTACTGTGATATCCAACTATTATTATTTGACCCAAAACAATTCCTGTGACCCACAGTGATTTTCCACATGGCATACATCAAAATGGAGCATGTGAGTAACCATATGGATGCATAGGTGGTTTTGTCTTTTCCACACAAATCCTTCACAGATGTAAGCATTAAAAAGAAAAAAAGTTCAACGCCTTCCTCCATTTGCCTGGCTGTTACCTTCCTACCCTGAATACCTGTATTTGAAAGCTGGAATTTGATGGTCAGCAAGGTTCTTCAGAAATTGAAACTCATTTCCCTTTAACAAAAGTATGTTGTCTCTCCAACCCCATTTACAGAATCTTAAAGAACAAGGTTAAGGTAAGCACAACCTTCTTTTCTTTCTTCTTTTTAAAAAAATTCTTTTCTTCATTCTAAACATAGAAAACACCAAATAAAATGGGAATATGCATAATAAAACAAAAAGAATATTGTATGTAAAATGGCATGCCTCCTTCTGTACAGACTACTTTTCTTTTAAATTAAACAATAAATTCAGCCTATAGCTTTCAAAGCTGTCCTTCTCTTCTATGCTTCTTTTTGGCTTTCTTTCTGTTCCCTTCTTTGAATTTTTGTTTAAAGATATTACAATGATAATCTTTTCTCTCATTTCTTCCTTTTTTTCTATTTTTTTCCCAGCTCTATCCATATCGCCCTTTGCCCTCCCCACCTCCTATCCCTTAACCGCACTGGAAGCTTAAAAAAATGTAAAAAAAGTCTTTGTAACAAATATGTACAGTTATACAAAACTAGTTCCCATACTGGCTGTGTCCATAAATTTAAACATCTTCCTTTTCATGCACTGTGAGTCCATCATGTCTCTGCCAAGAGTTGAGTAGCATGATCTTTAACAGCCCCATGGAAACCACAGTTGGTCACTATATTGATCAATGTTCTCAAGTTTTTCAAAGCTTTTTTCTCAAGGATGTTATACATTCTCCTCATTCTACTGATTTACTTTGCATTAGTTCAAAAAAGTCTTCCCAGGTTTCCCTGAAACTATTTTATCATTTCTTACTACAAAATAATATTTCATTGCATTCTCATACCATAATTTGTCTCTAATTCCTGAATAGATGGCACCCCCAAAGTTTCTGGTTCTCTGATCCTACTTTTTTTAAAAGCCGTTGTACACAGCTTTGTACACATGGGTCCTTCTTTCTGTGATTTCTTTTGGGGTGCAGGCCTAGTAATGGTATTGCTGAATCAAAGGGTATACATAACTTAGTGGTCACAGCTCCAAAATGTTTTCCACAATGGGTAGATAAATTTACAGATCCACCATCAAAGCACTAAAGGGACCATTTTTCCACAATCCCTCCAAAATTTGTCATTTTCTTCTTTTGCCAGTCTGACAGTGGAATGGAATCCCAAGGTTGCTTTGATTTTTATTTCTCTGGTTATTTTTAATTTAGAGCATTTTAATATGGTTATTGTTAGCTTAGATTTCTTCCTTTCAAGACTGTCCATATCCTTTGACAATTTTATCTGTTGGGGAAAGGCTTGAAGAGCAAGAAGAGAGTCCAGTCTGATTTTCAGCAGGCTTTGGGAACTAGCATCACATTTTTTTTAAGTCCTGAAGGCTTAAAGGGATTTTGCCCTTCCTTTTGAGAGGTCTCTTTTCTCTATTTATGACATCTGACAGCAGCCAACTAGATAAGACTTGCTTAAGCCATTCACTAATCCAAGGGCACAAATTTACATAGAAGGAAGATAATACAGCAATGTTTATGGAACATTACACTCTTTTCCTGTAAAGCTTACCTGACTATATTCAAAGGACTTCCAAAGTACATTATGAACCAACATTTTTCCAGGTATATACGATTCCCCGCTTAAGACACTGTCACCTAAGTCTGTGGTACTGGTGAATCCTTCCCCAAATCCCTATATGGTGTTAGGCAGAAAAGCCTCCAACATTTGTCAGCCAATACAACAAGAAAGATACATCCCTTATCACAGCATTTATATATTTTTCTTTTCATAAGTCGGGTACCTTCATTAGTTTTAAAACAAAAGTATTATCATTTTTCCATCATAATTTTTCCATATTCCCAGCCTCTCCTCTACAAAAAAGTACTTTCCCAACTGATATGTTGCAATTTAATCCAAATCCAGCAGAATATCAATTTTCTCTAGATAACGTAACGAAGTAATGGTATATTCCTTCTGCCATTCCAAAGCTTGAGAATTTGTAAGATTAATCAAAGGAATTTCTCTAACACTTTCAAGACTGACTATAATTCAACTTAAAAGTCAATTCAATAAAAATGTATTAAGCACCTGTTAAGCACAAGGCACCAACCTAGATGCTGGGGAAAACCAAACACTCATTGAGTTTACAATGCATTAAGGGGAATATTATAAGTACATGTACACAAATTAAGCAGAACAGATAAAAATTTGATAACGATGAGAGTCTTAACAAATAAGGGAAAAGTTATTAGGGATATAAATACCCTTTGAAGGTTTTTATTTGTAACCAGGACACAGAGCTGGAACAGCCCTTAGAAACCCTTTTTTAACCTTGCCTCCTTTTAAATACAAGGAATTTTGATCCCAGAGATGTTAACCAACTCATGTGATTTCACAAAGGTAAGTAATTGAACTAAGCTCTAAAGTGATATCCTCTAACTCCCGACCCAGTGTTCTTTCCATGGAGTAGAAAAGTAAGGCATAAAGGAACTGAATAAGTCCAAATATTATTACATAATGATAAGGATAAAAACTTCTATCTCCTGAATCCCCATTCTTCATTGTTTCCATAAGAGTTCTTGGTCTCTAGGTATAAAATTTAGAATTAATAATGATATAAAGAATTTTAAAATGGTGTTACTAATTCCTAAATCAGTATAACATTTTAAATTGTTCCTTTTATTAAGACAGGATGCAAAATAGGGTCCTAGAAAAAAAAAAGAATTTCTAAGTTGGAATGGACTCAAAGGTTATCTAGTTCAACCAGTAATTGAACAAGAATTCTCTCTTCAAAATCCCTGAATGGTGGTTATCCAAAGTCTGCTCAAAAACCTTTCATGAGGGGAGACTCACTACCTATTTAAGCAACCCATTTCACTTTTTGACAGCACTAACTGAATGAGAAGTTTTTTCTTATATTAAGCCAGACTTTGTCTGCCTCCCTTTGAACACTACTCTTCATTTTACCCTCTGGGACGACATAATTTAATTATAATTCCTCTACCACATGACAGTCCTTTCAAGTTTTAGTTTATGCCTCTACACATTCCTTATGCTAACTCTAAAGATTATTCATAACTGGATATTGAAGCAAAATATGTTTTACAAATTCTCAAAATTGCAATTTTGTAAGAGAAAGTTGCTATACATGCAAACTTAGTGGAATATGTACATACTTTAATTTATCAGAAACCTGGGCCATGGCCAAGATATATCAAAATCATGGATGCTCTACAGGTGCCAAATTTTTTGAACAAAAAAAAAATCCAAGAACAACAGATGTATTATTCCTAAATATTGTGATGTTTAGAATGGCTATGTTGAAAGTCCAACAAGGACATTTTTATGCTGTTTTGATTATTTAAAAGTTTAATTCCTCTGTCAGCGAACTGAATAAAATATATTCGTCCTTTGAAAACTGACACTGTAAAAACACTTCCA